CCAGCCAAATTGTTCCCTGCATACTGAACTTAATTGCTTGTGCTTTCCCATAGCAGTGAAAGATGACCCAGATCAGTTAAGAACTGGAAATGTGCACTGAGATTTTTAAAGAAAATGCACCAGAAAGTGAGTGAAAAAAGCTGGTTGTATTTTTCTTTTGATGTTTAAAACAAGCTATTGCTATTCAGATTTTTTTAAAAGATAATTCAAAATGCTCTATTTAAACACAAAGAGCAGACTTCCAAATGCAGGCATGCCCTCCCCCTCAAACGAGTAACCCTTCTGTGTTTCTTACATACCCATTTTTGTGGGTACTTGCCACATTCAGGCCTGCAGACCAACGTAATGCATGTAGGGTGGAAGTGGAGATGATGTTTTTCATAATCACATTTTGAAAGACTTGTTCTAGATGCACAAAAAAGACTGAAGTTGGATTACAGTGCTTACCCAGAAACTTTCCCAGCTGGACCTGAAGCCATTATGAGATCCACACTTCCATACATGTCTTTGTTGAAACCTACTTCCTTTCAGGGCTTGAGAGTCTGTGGAGTGCTGGAGAAAAAAAAGAGGTTTTGGGGTCTGTCTTCTGACACATCAGTGCCCATGAAGGCTCTTCCCATGTATTAGTGCTGGTGCCTTAGCCCTAAAAATGAACAGAAATGTTTGTATATGGTTTTGGATGCAGCAGTTTTTTTCTCAAGAAGTGAATTTCAAAGAGGTAAGAAGAAAATATTTCATGGTGCAGATTACTCAGGACAGTTTTACATATAGTACCCTTCATATAGACATGGTTGTTTCGTAATATTCTCTGTGTCTTTCTTTGCATTATGACCTTGCAACAGAATTAAGATAAAATATAGTAAGACAGGCCAAATTTATACCACGCCATAGTATTTTAACCAAATTATAGTGAAATGAAAACACACAACTACATTATTCAATAATTAAGACAAATATTTACTCCTGACTCAGCCTCACTTTAGAGTCTGTGGGAAAAAGAGTTGCAACAAAAATGTAAAAGGTTGAATTCTAGCAACTCTTGCCCTGATTCTCCTTTTGATGACAAAGCTTATATATGATGAGAAAGGTGTGATGGCAACATCTGTTCTTTTCCTCTTGCTTTTGCATGAAGTTACTATAAAAAAAAAAATCTAGGGCAACTACTAAGCACGTTTGTGCCTCGTTTAGATAAAGCGCAGCCAGAGCCTTCCCAATGGCCTGCTGAGTAGATAACCTCAGACTTTTTGCATGAGATGCAGTAAAATATAATTGTCCTCAAATATGTTCCCACTGATTTAGGAAAATGCCAAACCATAATTACATCTAACTCAAAGCATTTGATGTATAAAATAATAAGATTGTTTTACAAGTGGCTCTTGCCATGCTAAATTTCACATTGAATTTTAGTGGTCAGTGTAATAACTGAGTTCAAAGACAGACTTCTCAAATGTTCCACATTTTAGTTGTCTTTTGAAAACAATTATATCACAGTTTTGGAGCCAAAGGTCTTTAGCCATAACTAACACAGTACTTTTCTCTGACTGCCTTTCTGCTTTTTTTCTATATGTGTGGCATTTGTATGTAGGAGATGCCTTCTGAATGATCTCTAATTTAAAACTACTTGTTGTAAATACTAGGGATAACTTGCATATATATTTTATTTTGGTAAGTGTTTTGTAACATTTTATCTTCCATACATTGCTTTGTGCATCTTACCATCAGTGTGCTGTTACACATTTTGTAAATTAAGTGTTCTGGCTACGGAGCAGAGGAATTGGCTTTTGCTGGCTGAAGTACAATGTGCATTTTTTCTGAAGAAATTGCATTCCAAGATTTATCTACTCTTCCAACATTGTTTGTCAAATGAATCTATTTTCTGGAAAAAAGTACAAACTTACATTCCTATTATTTTTCTCTTATTGTATATATTTGAATTAAATAATGTACAAAGCTGAAGTTTCTCATCTCTGTCTTATAAAACTTTATTGTGCAGTTTTAAAATTTGTGGGTTTTTTATTGTCTACAAAATTTCCTCTGTGATGCAAAAATACATCAACTGTCATATTTCTTTTAGTATTTTAAAGAAAAAAAGTCACATCCCCCTCTCTTGGTTTCCCAGTAATGGCAACAGTACTTCCCAGCACAAGTTCATTTTAACAACGACTAAGCCTGAGTCTGGGATTTAAATTTTTCATCAATCAAACAAAGTCCATCCTTGTTGTTTCAGACATATGCATCTGTGGTCACTGTGCTTTATCTTGTCCTGGCAGAGGGCTCCCACAGTTCCCCTTGGAATAAATGCAAATGCAGCTTCTCTATTAATATAAAGCTCCTGCTAACAAAGGATGGTGACTTAAGTACTGCAGTGCAGGTAAGAAGGATTAAATTTTATTTTCTTTGGAACGAAAGCAAAACCTTCTGAAAGGGTTCACCCAAAAAGGTGTATTCCTTAAATGTGTGTGAAGAGGCTTACCAGCCTGCTTGTTGGGCAACACTGCTCGGGTTTCAGCTTACTTCTCTGATTTGGGGAAGTCTTTTGTTTCTCATTATTCTGACAGGGCAGAGGACCACATCTGAAAGGCGTACCTGTGTCCTTCTTGCTCCAGGCTGTGTCAAAACTTATGTTTCGCTGAGACACATTAGCTTTAACAAAATAAAAAATTTTGCTGAAATCTTTTCATTAGAAATTTCGGTGAATTCAAACGCTGACAGAATAGTTGGGTTTGCTAATTTGTTGCCCTTATTTTCAATGTCCAGGCACCTATATTTCTTGGTTCACCTCAAAGCTGAGACTTTCTCAGGCCTCCCAAGTGCTGCTGTTGCAGTGGGATGTGTGCTGGGTGCACCAACATCAAAGTGAAAGGCACAGTCTGAGCACTCAGTGCAGTAGATCAAATGACCGAAAAACATACCTTGAGCAAACACTCGAGTAGGATGTTGCAATCAATAGGCTTTGTAAGGACCCTGTGGTTCACCTGGCCATGGTGAGCTCATTTGTGCATTTTATTTCATGCTTTGGCAGTCAGCCTAAATCCTGTAGATCGTTCTGTACTATCAGTTCTACTATTAGTTACTTTAAAGTTCTTCGAGAGCTGATCTATCACGTGGTGCTTTTAGTTTACACAGAAATAGCACTGCTTATCTTGAATTTTTTGGTTGTTTTTTTGTTGGGTTTTGTTGTTGTGTGGGATTTGGGGTTTGGGTTTTTTTAAGGCTACATGGTGATCTGTGCTTTGTAACAAGAAACGTGGAGTTGAGCCTTTTTATATTCCAGTACCAAAGGAGAAATGAAAAAGTCAGCAATGGAAAACTGCACACCTCATGGATTGTAAGAAAAGCACACCAATATTCCTTACACAAGTGTATTTCTAAGTGCTTTTCAAAAATTCAGTTACTCTAACAAACTAGAGGACATGTAATTATGAGAATACATCAGAACTGCATAAGCTGTCAGCACATCATGTTTTTTGTTAATCTCATGTCTGTGTTAGGTTTAGTTCACTGCAGTCAGAACTGACTTCTGGTTGTCCAGGTGAGTGCCTAGGGCTGAGAACTCACATACTGCCACTACTAGGTATTTTAGACTCTGGTTTTAAAAAACAGACTTGTGTGTGAGTGTGTATGTGTTTGTATATGTATGTATTTACACCCACCCCCCCTTTGTAGACTCCATATGGCATCCCCATATGGACCCTCCCTCTCTTTATGTTACATTTCTGTTGTGCATTGGGGAGGAGGAGGCTGATAACTGAATGACACCTGGGCAAGGTTTTACCTGAATCATTTTAATGTTCCAAGCATTCAGAGTGGGCCACCTGCAATGACAGACAAACCACTCTGCAGACAAGTGAAGGCTAGGAGGTATCCATCAGAATCCCTGCACTCTGGTGTCAGTGAAGTTTAGAAGGGTAAACCTAAAATGGCAGATGTCAGCAGCAGAGGAAGGAGTACCACTGCCCTTCAAATGCTGAGTTTCTCTCAGAAGAGAAACATAAGACGATGTAGGATTTACTGACTGTCTCTCCTAGTGTTTTTTGGAAAGCTGAAACTGCTTAAGAGGAAAGGAGTACAGGTACTCCTCCAGTACAGAGAAAAGGAATCCATGAGGTACACCTGAGGGACTTTGCTGGCAGAACCTGGCACCTGCCAAATTCCTCCTTATTTCTGGCACATAGGAAATAAGAAGGCAGAAGGCCCAATATATACACTGAAGTGAACTGTAAGTGGGCAGATTCACTAGGCACAGTTAACCTTGGCCACTTCCTATAAGCATACCCCAGACTTCAGAGATACTGACTCACTGAAAAATTGTCTAGAAGGTGCTCTGCTAATAAGATCAGGTATCTCACTAACCATCCATCTCATGGTTATTACTGCCATATTCATCTCCTAAAGAAGGTAATGAGCACAGCAATCAATCTGAAAATCCCCCTGGATCTCCTTCCATACAGATGCAATGTTTTTTAAGAGCAAATGATCAGCTTTTGCTACTGTGTAATTATTTTCAAGGCATTACCCTGTGATGAGACAAGACACACTAGAAAGCAGCTGGGAGTAACATTTGCCTTTAAGGCCATTCCTACAGCATTTTTCTTGATTCTCTGCTAAAAATGCATCAAACCAGACTAACTGCAGAGTCCATCGAGGTAGAGGTAACTAATAAATGATGTCATTTTCAACTGAGGATGGGACAGACAGACTGTGACTGTTATCACTGTAAAATTCCAGCTTTGTTTGGGTCATTGTAAGGATTGTGCTGCCCTGGGAGGCCCAGGGCATGCCACTGCTGGTACCATGTCCCCAGGAGCCTCCAGTGCTGTCCCACCAGAGCCACTGACTCTCCCAGGACCCTGCAGACAGAAAGGTTTGTCAAGAAACCCAGGTTTTCTGCATGGCAGGACAGACCACTGAGGGCACAGCACTAAGCTGGCAGGGTTGGCTATTTTTTATTGACTCAAACTTTTAAGTAGAGAAAGGAGGCTGAGACTAAGCAACCTTCAAAAATTTCAGATGGTGCTTAATGGGTAAAAAGAAAAGGATTGTTTGTCACAGCTCTCGTTTTTTCTTCTCCATTAGCACAGAGCGAGGTTAATTTGGCTACAGAAGTTCATTCAAGTAGAGCAGCTAATTGCTGCACATGGTCCTTCCTTTTCCTCAAAGCACGGTAGACACGGTGTCCCAGATATAAACCAGGGCACCACAACGCTTGCAGTATTGTCGTATTGCCACAGAGTGGTGGTGAAGACCTTACCGAAAGCTTCGTTGCTCAGCAGCACTGAGGTTACGTCCTTCGGTATGTGCAGACCACACGCGTCATGTCTTTGCAGTGTGGGAACACCCTCAGACACACTGTTTTCAGTCACTTGCACCAACCAGGGTGAATTAAGGCCACTTCCTATAACACATTAACTCCTGTGATTTTTGGTTTTATCCTTCAGTGTTCATGACCAGCACTTAAGGAGTTGATGATAAGCTCAATTGCTTTACTTCCATTAGTCCTTAGCAGCAGTTGCAGGAGTTTCAAGAAGACATAGTTAAGTATTGAGTTATAGCTTTTAAAAATTTAGTTACCAATGTTAAATAATTTAGTATAGCAGTAGCTTTCACTGTTGCTTGAATGGCTAAATGGGGAGCCTGCTAATTACACTTGAAAAGCTCTCTTTGTCATGCATTTTTTTTACTTTAATTCAACCTTGTTACTTCTTTTCCATAAGCAGCTAATATCTGTAATGTTATGTTCTCAGCATTTTTGGTTTTAATTTCTATAGTCTTTTTCCCTAATTCCATTGAAAATTACTTGATACAGAAACTATTACACATTTTGCAGCACAATAATGGTGTGAGATATGGCTTCCATCCTACAAACCAACCAACCTGTTAAAGGTTAAAATTTCTGTGATGTATTTGTAAAATGGAACAGGCAAATCAAGGCCTTATTAATCCATTTTAACAATTTTCTTTCATGTAAGAGTGGTAAAAGCCAAAACACAGAGCACCTCAGCTTAATACTGGAATAAATAGGAAGATTCCAGTTTAAAACTGTGTTTTAATTATTGAACAGCTCTCAGAATTAAATCACTGACCTTTGAGAATTTAGTGACCGAACAAGTACTTGTCCTCAAGACACATATCTGAGCGTGCATTCCTTTACATGAAGCTTTTCCACTCTGGTTAAAGATGCCCAAGAACACTGCAAGTACCAAGTGAATGAGGTAAGAACAAGGATCCTATATATTTGATGATGATATTAATGTCAGCTTGTGGAGTGGAATGCATGTATGGGGACCAAACTGTCTATTCTTTTGGCAAGAAACGCTCCATTAGACAACTGGGAATGGGGTTTTCTGTAAGTGGACAAAGACTGTCAGACTTCTCCATGGGGTGCATCACATCCTAACAGCGTCACACAGAGCACTTCTTCCTTTTGCACTCTTCTGGAGTCCTTTGACTAAGGCAGAAAAAGCTTATATAGCTCAGAAGTAGCAAATGTTTTATTGATTTTCAACTTCCTTTCGTGTCAACCAGCAGCAGCAGACAAAGTGGGATTTTGCTAGCTGGTGATTAAACATCTCTCTGTAAACCATTGGCAAAGACACCATAAATCACATTTCCACTAATTGTTCCAAAACAGGGAACTTTTCTGAACACAGAATAAAAAGATTAAGGAACATGTCCCAAAATTAGAGTCTTCCTAAATAAACTACATTAAAAGAATATTTAGATTGCATATTGCTAGCAGGCTGTAATTATTCTTATTGAAGGATGTAGGCAGTCTTCTGCATGGCTGTGAAAGGCAGCAATGGCCATGAAATAGCTCCTCTTTGGGCACTGTTCTGGCTAGTGGAGTTTGTGAAGTGATTTCTGAACAAGAGGAATGTGTATATGTTAAATAAGCAAAACTACAGCTCAGAGAAACAGGACATTGTATGAATCCTTGTGCATGAACGTGGGATCACAGGTCCTACATAAATCATCTCACAGGACGAAACTTTGGGGCTTAGGACAGCAAAAACATTATTATTATAGTATTATCTAGTACATAAACTTGTAGACTTGCCAGACATTGGGGTTTCATGGTTTTGGTTGGAGTAAGACCAGTCACTGGAAGTTCTTTGGTCTATAGCTACTGCAACTCTATATTCCTTGCTGCAATTGGTGGTGGAGGGGAAAGAAATTAAAAATGAACACTTTTGCCTGATTTGCCTTTTTATTATGACCTTTTAATCTGGGTTAAATTCAGCCAAATCCATGAAATTCAGGCTTTGTCAATGCACTTATGCTTTAAATAGAACAATGTAAAACTTTATGAGATGCACTGAGCTGTTGTTTTCTTGTTTGCTGGATAGATTCTGAGGACAACAAGGGTAGCTCTAAACCTCCTCAGAGCTTTTGTGACTTTCAGCTGCTCACCATCTACCCACATCAAAATTTCCCTTTTCAGAGCCAATAATTTCCACAAGTCAAACTGCATAAGAAAATACAAAACAGAATCTGATGCTCTAAATCACAGTGAATTAAGGAATATTTTAAATTGTGTAAAGCTAATGTTTTAAATGTATAATGATGCTATGGCTGATATTCCCATTAAATTATTATTTAAAATAGCACTCAGTAGTCTTCAGGACTGTAATTAATGCTATATAAAGACCTATGAATAAAACAAAAGAACAGACATGGTGAAACCCCATTTCCTTGTTTTCCTTCCTCCACTATGCTGCACTCCCTTCCAAGGCAGACTTAGGCAGATGTACTTTTGCTTCTTAAATCTTTCAGCCAAAATCATATAACCTGTCTAAAAAATGAAAAGCTGGATTGTACTGCTGGCTATTGTAGTCAGCACAGCAGAAACGGAAAACCAGGACGTCTGTACCCAAGGGTATCCTGGCATCCCTGGCAATCCTGGGCACAATGGCACACCTGGTCGTGATGGACGTGACGGTTCAAAAGGCGACAAGGGAGATACAGGTACTACATTCAGAATAAATGATTTAATGTATCAAAGGCAATGCCATTCATTCCCAAATTTGCGTGTAGTCACTCTGCATGAATGGGATTATTCTGCCTAGTCTTCAGAAAACATTTCAGACATTTGTCCTTTACTTGTTTGAAGAAAGAAATATAAAAAAGGCTTAACAATGAAAGCAAGACAATTAATACTATGGAGATGTCAGGTCCATGGGGTAAAAACAAAAGAAAAAAGGCTTTATCTTCTATGTTGGGAATATTTTCAAGTCTATTTGAAAATTTTAAAGCCTGTATATCTTTTCCTACTCCTTTAAGATAGCAACTATATTTCTGTAAAAAGCTTCAAGCCCAGTAAACAAAAAAACAACTGATATGTTGTTTGGAGTAGTAGCAAGTATGCAGTGGTAAGAAGATTTCTCTTTCTTATCTAAATTTTACATTTGTAGGACTTACTTCTGAGTGTGTCTACTTGCTGCAACTGTACCAGAGTATGTTCAGGCATAGAGACTACTGAAAAACAATGTAGGATTCATGTCTGCTCTAAAAGGTTATAATAGAGATTTGTGTGTGATACTGAAAACAGAAATAATCTCAGCATCCTAAAGCTAATCATCCCCACAATACTTTAAGCCTTGTATCCATGCTGGAATATCAAGGATAGGGTAGCACAAGGTGATAAATCTATGGGCATGTGGACATATAACACTTCTTGTCAAGTGTCACAACTTCAGAATGCAAAGCACAGGAAAAATGCAAGTCTGCTGCTGCAAACCTTCTCACAGAATTTTGAGGGAGAACTTTTCCCCAACAAGCTTTATGTTAGGTCAGTTATGCCATCATGCAGGTGGTATTATGGCTTAAGGCAGAAACCTGTCACTGTTATTTTGGGCCTGGCTGCCCAGATTGACCCAGATTAAACTTATCAGATAGGCCCTTCTAACAAGTCCTGATCTTAAGGATTGTGAATCCCAGCTATTTTCAGTGGAATATATAATCTAGTATCTAAACCAAACGGAGGTCAACAATCTCAAAGAAATTAACTTAAAATGTTCTGAAGTGTCTCACTATGTCTTTCAAGCTAGTGGAAATGTCTATTTAACATACTGGCTTGCTAAGCTAATGGATCACCTGCTCCACCAGAAAAGTATATGCATCCTCAAACATTGTATGCTAAAGAATCAGCGTTGAAGGTGTAGTTTGATGTGCAGTTATTTCATGGCTATGCTGGTATAGGCAAAATCTTCCAGATCCTTTTCCTAACGCTTCAGTCTCTCTTATAGTCCACAGCTGTTCGTGTGGCTATACAGTAAACTAGAACAGCTGAAAAATAACCAGCATTTATAATTTGGGCAATGAAGACTTTTCACTGCTTATGGCCTTCCCTGGACCACCAAAAGACAAGTCTACCTACTTAGGTATTTACACCAGTGATTACTAAGGAGTTACTTGGAACTTGTTGTTTATAAAATGATTTAGAGTTCTCTGCCAAGCAACCACATATATTCCTTCTGCTTTCCATGCCCTAGCTTGGTTAAAACCAAAGCTTTTTAAAATCTAGAAACAAACAAAAAAATCCATTAGCATCTTAATAGGCACATACCTTTAACTGCCCTCTTTTTCTATAAACATGGTTCCAGGAAGGTTTGAAAATGGAAAATCTAAAGCTTGCTTATTTTCATTTATCTTATAAAGGTCCTCCCTTTACTCCAATGAGTTATCACATGGTACCAGTGATTTCTGATAAAGTCCCCAGCATTTTTTCCTAGATTAATCTGTTTTGATGACTGTACTATTCTCTGTTTGAACAAATTGGGGTGATTTTACCATTCTTTATATTGTATGTACATACACCTTTGCAGTGCAGTTAAACATATCAGACTTAATTTTGTTCCTTACCAAGTCAATGAAAATTCAGCACATGCTGGGCTACATCCACTGTGCAGAAAACTGCTAAAGAACTGTTCTCAAGTCAGTATGGTTGGAGAGCTACCCTTGGAATATGGTTACACCCAAACTGCCAACTATTTTTTCTTCTGTTGCACTCTGGATGCAAATCCAGTTATTTTATCATCTTCTGGTCATCTTTGACTTTACGACGAAAATTGCTTTTGTAATTGCTTTCTTTAGAGCAGTAGAAAGTCCATGTCATGCTAGATACAGGGATCAAGAGTGTGAATGCCTTCCCCAGATCTACAGGCAATATTATTCCACTGTAATGTTTCATTACCATCAAACTCCTGCACATCTCTTCTTGAGGCGTGAGTTTACCATTCATAGAATCATAGAATCATTACAGCTGGAAAAAACCTCTAAGATGATTGAGTCCAATCATCAACCTAGCAAGACCGGGTCCACTGCTAAACCACGCTCAATAGGCTTCTGGCCCCTGCAGTGTTTCTTCGTGAATGTGGCTTCCTCACTCTATTTCCATGGATGGAGGCAACAACAGGACAAGAAGTTTTCACATGGTGGGCCTTACAAGGATACAGAACCTCTACACGCCTCCATAACTCACCTTGTTATGCCAAGGATTCCTTCTGTATCGAAAAGCACCATCCTCAAGCAGAATTACTGTGCTCTCTGTGAATCTCTCCATAAGATAAAAGTACCAGCAGTGGCACCCAGTAAAAGTCAGGAATAAGAGTACGCTTTACACTACTGTTTGGCCAGGCTTGGAGAGGAAAGATTGAAGAAGGACTCATCCCAAGTTTTCTGGTTTAATGAAAATCTGTTTTTTTAATTCTGTACTAGGTGAACCAGGAGTTCCTGGCGTTCCAGGAAAAGATGGTGCCAATGGAGAGAAAGGTGAACAAGGTCAGAGAAGAAGTGTTTCAATTTATTATTTGTCTATCAACTGCTGCCCTTGAGTTTGTGAATACTGGACGTACTATACATTCTAGCTGTAGCAAAAGTACCATAAAGGTTAAAAAACCTTTTTCCTGAAGTAGTAGAGGCTGCACACATATGCTGACAATGCAAGAGGAATTTGCCACCTCAAATTATCCCACTGCCTCTGATGCCCCACAACTTGTTCACTCAGGCTGTTATCCTGCCTTTCCCATCTCTAATCCTTTTGTCAGCTGCTAAGCAAGACACTGCATCTGCAGCTACCTCAGGAGACTGAGGATCCTGTATCTATGAAACTTCAGAGAAAGAGACTTTTAAAACAAATTGTAGAAGACACAAGTTATACACCTAAAAATACCATAGATCCTGTATACTTCATATGTAAGTAAGGACTTGTTATCCTTAGAGTAATTGTGCACAGACAATGTATATATCCAACAGCAACTTGCCAATGACAGTGTCCAGGTTCTCCAGAATCCTGAAGGTGACCCTGAGAAATAACACATGGTTGCATGGAAGTAATTACAAGCTGCCCTACATCCCTCAGACTTTTCTCCAGTCAATTAGAAACATCCCTTAAAGGAGCGTAAGACATGAGGCCAGAAATGTTGTTTAAAATTAGAAAGCTACTTTCTTCTCTTGTGTCCTTGTCCCGATGTACCAATGCTACTTTTCCCAGAGGCTCACCATACAATGTCACCTGTTTTCAGTTCATTGATTCTGTTAAATACTCTCACTTGTAAATTGAGAACAGTAAACTGTACAAAGAGCATTATTCCAAACATAAGAAGCCAGAGGCCCTGTTGCAGAAATTATCATGTTCTTTTTCTGATTGATTGAGCGTATGTTCTTTCTGGTATCTTTTGTCTGTCAACTGCTAACATACCCTTCACATTACGGGATCTTCACTTTCAAAGCCTTGTGCAGCAACCAGAGGATTTTCAAAGGCTTTGATCTCCAGACCAAGAGTGGATGAAGGATAAATGGAGCATATGGTGACATGTAACTAGGACAAAAAGCCTTTAGTTTTGCTACAGTAGCAATCTAGGTAACCCAAGCAAAGTTCCATCACGCAGAAATTACAGAAACACATGGCAAGCAAGGGTGTTGTTAAAAAAACCCCCTTCCTCTGATTAAATTGTGAACCATCTCACCCATTTTGTATACCAAAGACTGAAAACAAGTATCTGGACAGATGCTGCTTGTGCCTGAGATGATGTGAGCTGTCAGTGCTACCATCAGCCTGTAGACACCTTTCCCTTTCTTTGAGCTTATTCTTGCTGCTTTCAGCAAGAGCACCTGTCTTCTAATGCAATAAGAGGTTCTTTAGGTATTATGTTTATCCTGCACTTCAATGTATGAGAAATTGTGTGTACAGTGAGCACAGTATATATAGTACTGACACACACCTGCATATATATTTCCTTATGCTGAAACTCAATTTGTGCCCTATTAATGCAGTGGAAGACCACAAGAAACTGTCTTTCTTTTTTTTTTTCTTTTTTTTTCCTTTCCTTTAGGAGCCAATGGGACTGTTGAAGAGAAGGGGAATAAAGGAGATAAAGGAGAAAGAGGACAACCTGGGAAACTGGGGCCAAAAGGGGTTATAGGGTCAGTGGGTTACAAAGGTCAGAAGGGAGAGCTGGGACTGCAAGGACAAAAGGGATTAAAAGGAGACATTGGACCCATTGGCCCGAAAGGGACAAAGGGTGAAATTGGCCATCCTGGAAGAGTTGGTTTCCCAGGGCCAATTGGCCCGACTGGTAATCCAGGTCCTAAAGGTAATATTGGAGGTACAGGGCCACAGGGTAATCCAGGAGTTCAGGGGGAAAGAGGCTTGAAAGGAGACAGAGGAGAAAAGGGGAATGTAGGTGCCCCAGGAGTCCTGCCAAGGAGTGCTTTCAGTGTTGGCCTTACAGTTGACACCAAATTTCCCCCTCCAAATCGCCCAATCAAGTTTGACAAGGTGCTGTATAATGGTCTCAATGACTACAATCCAGTTACTGGCAAATTCACCTGCAGATACCCTGGTGTTTACTATTTCACCTACCACATTACTGTCTACTCAAGGAATGTCCGAGTTGCTCTAGTTAAGAACGGCATCAAGATGCTGCACACTGTGGACAGGTACCAGAGTGGAGAGGACCAAGCCTCAGGAGCCACCATCCTGGAGCTGCAGGGAGGAGACAAGGTGTGGCTGCAGGCTCACCAAGGGGAGACTTTCAATGGGCTGTTTGCAGACGCTGATGATGATACCACCTTCTCTGGGTTCCTCCTGTTCAGCACCTCTGACTCACTGGAGCCACTGCCATTGCCTACCACATAACTCCATGTTATCCATGAATGCTGAATGTCTGTGTCCTTCAGCCCTCCCTAATAAAGTTGTTATCTGCTTAACGATTTCTACTGGATTCGACAGAAAACAGTTGTTTTCAGGAACAGCTTCTGCACAAGAGAGGACAATTCTTCTGCATCAACACAGTTTAGTAACTTACTATAGGAATGTACAGGGGTGCATACACAAATCCTGAAGGACAAATGTTTTTCAAAAAAGTGGGACAAAATAAAGGATAAATATTCTGGAAATATGACATGTCCCTGCCATCTTGTATGAACATGAAGCAGCAGTTACTTCTAAGCCAGTTTATTTCTTCCAGGGTGACATATGTAGGTGGGCTTGAAACTTGGTTAGTTTGCATCCAACCATTTCAAAATAATTTTTAAACTTGGAATTAGTGCAGTTTGAAACCTACACAGGTATCAAACAGGTGGCACTTGCTTGTTCTGTGGCATGAGCAAGTTCTATTCTAGCTGGGTGGATTTTACAGCTTTTAAATACGGTTCTTTGCTCTCCGTATAGCCAAAGGTCTGAAATGGAGTGAAATGGAGTGATAGGAGGAAGTGCCCCATGGATTCTCCGATGTAGGCAGATATTAAAGGCCAGTGCAAAAATACAGCATAATGCTGCTGTACTTCAGAATTAGCCAGGGCAACAAATGAAAGATAATATTTAATCTAACACTGAAGCAGTCATACCGGAGAACTGATCAAGAGATACTTCCTTGATGTGCCATAAAAGATTAATTTCTGTGATTTTTTTCGGAATTTTCTTCCCCCCCCTTCTTCTAAAACTCAAAAATATAACAAAAGATGTTGATAAGTTTCATCCACTTCCCTTAGAAGAGAATAAAGCAGAGATGCCAATGAAGATGGGCCAGCACCATGAAATTCAGTGCAAATGCAGTGTCGGAGCATGAGTCCTGGTTTCCTATCACCTCTCAGGATGTCGGGGAGGCAAGGGAATGTGAATGTGGGCACATCTCCACAGTTGTTGAACCCTGAGTACAGATCACAGAGCCCAAATGAAAATGGTGCAGTGGGTTTTTTCAGGAAGAACAGCTGCACTTCTCATGTCAGCTGAATGACTGCAAAGGAAATATGAAAGCAGAGGCAAGGGTTATGTGAATTTTTCACCAAGAGGTGGTTTTTTCCCCTGTAAGCCACCCGCTGTTCAGTTTGCATCACAGAAACAACTAGGCCAAGAAACACTTTAAAATGGACTTAGGTTTAACTGGAGGACGTGCAGGACTGATATCAGAGTTCAACAAGCGTTTGGATGATACTCTCAGGCACGTGGTGTCACTCTTGAGGATGGCCCTGCGCAGGGCCAAGGGCTGGACTCGGTGATCCTTGTGGGTCCCTTCCAACTCGGCTTATTCTGTGATTCTGTGATCAGCCGGCAGAGGCCCCGGCGCGTCCGGGGAGGGAGCAGGGCAGCGGGGCAGCCGGGGGAATCGGAGGGATCGAGGAGCGAGAGGAGCGGGCCCACGACAGGCCGGGGAGCGACAGCCTAGCAAGAGCACCGAAGCCAGCGGAGCGGGCGGGCTGAGGGGCGGTGAGATCAGGGAGCCCCGCCCCGCTCCGCGCTGTGCCTGCCGGCCCTTCACCTCCTGCTCCGCCCCTGGGCCTGGACGCGCGGAGGTCGCGGCCGCGCTGTGAGCGGGGAGTACCGGGGTCAGTGCGGGTGTGCTCCGCTCCGCTCCACGGCGCTCCGCCATGCTGGGCGGCTGCGGCGGGCGCTCCCCGCGGCGCTGGGCGGCGCTGCAGGCCGGCGCGGGCCGGGCCGCCGGGCCGTCAGCACCAGCTGGTGCCCGTGGGGCAGCCTTCGACGCGAAGCAGCAGCAGCAGCAGCCGCTGCGCGGCGGCGCGGCGGGCAGGAGACGGTGAAGCGGCGGGAGGGAAGGGCCGGGCCTGCGGCGGGCCTAGCCGCTGGCAGCGTGGTGCTTTGCTCTGCTTATCGGAACTCTTTTTTAAGGGATTTTTTTTTCAGGGTAATTTTTTTTTGGACGCAGAAGAGTTTGACAGTCGTGGTCTTATGTATGGAAATACTTGCTTTGAGCCTCAGTAGCGCCCATAGGTACATACAAGAGATACTGCCCCTTCCATTGCCCCTTCCACTCCCAGCTCCTACCTGGCTGTGCCTTAGTTCTTCTATCAGTGTCGTGCCGCTCTGGCAGTGCTTCGGGATCTGTTGCACTGCCGACATCCTCTTGCCTCGACATTATTCTTGACATTTGTCCTGTGGCAAAAAAAAAAAAAAAGCATTTGTTTGCTGGGTCGGTGACACTTGGGTTTTCTGATGTGTTTCCTTTTGAGGTGAGTCGGGTGCGTTTGTTAATGACTGTCCTAGGAATCAACAGGCTGGCTCCTGGACAGAGTTAGGTGGCACAGTGCATGCAGAATAGTTATAGCTGTAAAATCCAGGTGTTTGCCTGCTGACTCAGCTACTCTTGCCATGATGCCCAGGCTGGTAAAGCTGTTGAACTCGAGGGTATACTGAGGACAAATCTGACCTCTCTTTATAATCCAGCACTTGTTTGGGAAACATTTCTGTTGGTTCTCCTGCCTCTGCAAGCACACTGGTGTAAGTTTTGCTTCAGGAAATAATACAGTTAAATATTGCCCATTTGGCTGGCCTGGGTAGTGAATTCTGGACAATTCAGTTGGCCCACAGTAATTTGGGAATAGAGGTGCATATTTCAGGCTCACAAAGAGGCTGTGACAAGTAGGATGTAAATGCTGAGGCCAAGCGAAGAGAATAATGCTGCATCTATGCAGCCAGTGCCATTAAAGAACACACAGAACTGCACCAGGCTTCATTTTTGGTAATTTTTCAGTTTTTATGTCAAGCTTGGTATCATATGGAAGAAGAGCTCCATGGCTAATTTATTTCTAAGAGGAGATACCTCCTGTTCACAGAGGACTACATGTGCAGGAAGAGCTCACTCGGGAGGGTGGATGATGATGTAGGGCAGTAGGAAGGCCAGGAGCTCTCTGGGATATTGCAGGATACTGCAACCCTTGGTTGGGGATCTGAGTGAAGTCTTGAGTCTCTTATACAACAAGCATTATTGAAGGGTGCTGTGATACAATTATATTTATGTGTAAGTGCGTGTGTATATATATAAAAATATCTTTTTCAGTGTTTGTTTTGGTCCAGTTCCTGTTCCCAAATAATAAATTAAAACATAGGAAGTGTGAGGAAAAGGTTTCTGTCTTTAGGAAAAAAAGAAGGCAGTTTTAGCAACAGTGACAGAAAGAAAATAGGCAAAAGCAACTCAGAATGTCCCAGATACTTACTTTAAGGGATGCTTTTGCTTCATTCAGAATATATACTTTTACAGACAAGCTGTCAATTTGTAGTTTTTTGTTTTGTTTAGATAAATACTTGCAAGCTATATGCAAACCTGTAGCTGACAGCTGTAACACAAAGAGTTTGCAGAAGGTGCATTATAAAGTGACCAGCCTGCAGATCTGCAAATCCAGATTGTGGTTTTAGATACTGAGATTAAATTTGGGAAGGGATAGATGTTGTGTAAAATCATGTGCTTTTCACTGTTAGATGCTGTAGTTAGCAGGTAAGGAGATGCTTGTGTTGGAGTTGGGCAGTTGCAAAGGGAGTGTATTGCTCGAAGTGATGCTTTTTTAACTCAAATGAACTTAAGGAATCATTAGGAAAAGGTTTTTCAACCAGGGGTTCATTGGGCACTGAAAAAGACTCCTCAGGGAAGTGGTCACAGCCCCAAGCCTGCCAGAGTTCCAGAAGTGTTTGGACAGTGCTCTCAGGCGCATGGTGTGATTCTTAGGGCTGTCCTGTGCAGGGCCAGGAGTTGGACTTCAGTGATCCTTATGGTTGCCTTCCAAAGCAGGAGATTCTATGATTCTATGAAATCTTTTTACTGTTGTAGGTCTGTCTTGTGGAACTTTTCTCTTGCAGCCAGTTTTAGTAATTTTGTTTGATCAGCAGTAGGACCGCTTTAACTCTCTTTCACTGCTGTCTGTGTCTACCCTGCCCTGTGGGACAAGGCCAGGCTTGGTAGGAACTTCAGGAATAAAACTGTTCATACCACACAAATTTTTGGCAGTTGCTGATTTTTCCTTTGAGATCTGGTTCCAGTATGTGTGGCTCATTTAATGAGCCCAAAACAACTGTCCTATTACCTGCTAGATATCAATCCAGCATTGATATCTAGTGCTATTGGCCAACTCATTCACTGTTTTGACAGTCCTACTTAGTTGTCATATTCCTTGATAAGTCTCTTTTGCTTCAAAGGAGTGATTTTCCCTCATTTTCAAACGTAAGTGGACTTTCTGTGTTTTGTTTGGTGCCCATGCTTTGGAAGCAAGATAAATGCTTTGAGAAAAGGTTGGCATAGGAGTTTATGGTGTGGAAGAGAAGAGTTTGTGAGGATTTGATGTCAAACTCTTAAGGTTTCCTGAGAACAATACTGGCTAAAAAAACCTCAGTGCGGTTTTGCTCTGGGAAATGAACATGTTTTGACATCATACCAATGTCTGTGACTGGTTTTGTGACTATTCTGTTTACAAAGACACTTGGGTAGGAACGTTTTAGTGAAGTGTTACAATATGCTAGCTAGGGTCATTTTGATAAAATTCCATAGTGATAATTCAGTATTGATACGAAGGTGCAGAAATCAAGGAGGGTAATAGTGATGCGTTTTCATTGTGTTCTGCATTGCAGGGTCTGTTTGGTGTTCCAGAACTGAGCTGTCCAGAAGGATTTCAAGAAGCACAAGACAAAGCATTGCACGAGTCAGAACAGCTAGTACAGAAGGCATGTTCAACACCACCTGGGCCAGAGACTGTAAGGATCTTTGATCAGCTTTCAGATAGCTTGTGCAGAGTAGCAGACTTGGTAAGTTACTTTTTTATTATTACATAAAGTAAAAATTAATCCTTTTAAACTGACTGAGCTTACACCATGGTGTTCCATTTTATGATTTTCTGCAGTGCAGTAAATGGCAGACAGCGCCATGAAGTTTTGTGTTGAGATAAAATTAAATTGATTGAAAGTTAATTACGTGTTTTTACCAACT